GCTTATTCCAACATCGTTGATGGCTCTTGGGTTTACACTGGCCCCCCTCCTCCTCCTCCTCCTCCTCCTCCTCCTCCTCCTCCTCCTCCTCCTCCTCCTCGCTCGGTCTCACTGCAAGCCCCGCCCGGGGGCGCTGCAGCCGCGGGCCGCCGGTAGCGTGGGCCCAGCTCGCGCTGGGCCCCCTCCCCCCTCGAGGAGCACCACGCCCTCTTACCTTCGGGGAAAGCGGCGCGCTCGCCCCCGAGGGGGCGACGACGATGGGGAACTCGCTCTCCTGGGCGTGGTCGTTGGCGTTGGTGTCGGTGTTGTCGTCGGTGTTGGCGTTTGCGCTGTCGGCGCAGTTGCGGTGTTGTAGTCGGCGTAGGCGTCAATGACTTGCACCTCGTAGGCCTGGCTCCACAAAGTTTTGCATTTCATTGCCTTCTGCACTTTGGTCGCCGCTTCCTCCTTGGAGTGTAGGACCGTTGCTGATCTGCCTTCAACCTGGAGTCGTCGCCGGCGCTGGCGCTGAACCCCTGGTAGTATCCGTGGGAGCTGGTCTTCCGACAATCGGCCTCCTGGTCCTGGGGGTCGCGGTGGTGGGCGTCGGCGTCGGGCTGGTGGGCGGCGTCGCTCTGTGCGGCGAAATGGACCACCTTCCCGGTGAACTTGGCGGTGACAGCTGGAGGCCGTGGTTCAGTGTGTGTGACGAGGCGAGTCTGGCCGCGGCGTCGGGGGAGAGGTCCTCGGTGACATAGCCCGAAGGGCTAGGCGAGGGGGGCCACAGAGGGACCCCGAGGGGGGATACCCATGCCATCGTATTTTTTGGGGGGCTCTTGCCCGGGTCAACTGCGGGGTGGAGCGCCAAGAGGGGGCAAATGGGGGAGGCGGCCTCTCGGAGGCAGTCGAGTGCGAGGCGTCTCTCCCATCAACTACCGGCCCCCCTTCTCCGGCTGAGGGGGAGCGGCCGCGGCGGCGAGGCAGGGGATCGGACCCTCGTCCTCGTGTACAGCCTCCGGAGGTCGTTGGTTTCCTGGTCTCGTCGCCGACGGCGCTGGTGACGAAGCTTGCGGCGAGAAAAAGGGGCTCGGCGTTGTTGGTGTTGTCGTGGTTGGTGTTTTCGTTGGCGGCTCCGTGGAAGCCGACGCTCTCGCGCGGCGCCGCCCTGTCAGGGGAGGGCGATGGAGATGGCGAACCCCTTGTCTTTGATGTCTCAAACCTCCGGTAGGCGGCATGCTGGCGTCTGAGGCCGAAGTCCTCTGCAATCTCGTTGTGGTCGTAATAGTTAGTGGTAGTTGTCGTAGAGGTTCAGGGTCGGCAGCTCGGGATGCTGCTCGTGTTAGTAGTTGTGCGCGAAGGCGCCCATAAATATCTCAAGAATTTCGGCGCTGGAGTCGAGGGCGTAGGCGTTGGAAGGAACAGCGCTGACTGCGCCCATGGCATTTCGGGTCTTCGCCCCGTCGTTATAATTACTGGCAGCCAGGGCGACCTCGTGACGACGTACTCAGTCTTCGCGTTGTGGTCGTGGTTGGTGTTAGCGCAAAACTCGCTCGGAGTTCCCTCGGCAAGCTGATCATGGAGACCCGTTTCGGAACCGTTCTTGTTAGAGGACAAAAAATCCACTCCATTAATCCGCCGGCCCCCTTGTGGGGCCACCAGGCTGTAGGCGCGGGTTCGCAGTTTCCTGTACCAGTTGTAGCTTGTAGTTTCCAGTGTTACAGTTCTGCTTCTTGCTGGTTGCTGTAACTAGTTGATTGACCGCGCGAGGGGGGTGGAGGCCCAAACCAGATATTTAGCACCTCCTGGGCGCGTTGTCTGAATTGCTGGGGGGGCTCGAAATCGACACCCCTCACACAGATCGGCGGGGTCAGGGTCCAAAAACACAAGGGATTTGCCACATTTCTGAAATTCGGTGCCACCCCTCACGCAGATCCGCGGGGTCAGGGTCCAAAAACACAGAGATTTGCCACATTTCTGAAATTCGGTGCCACCCCTCACGCAGATCCGCGGGGTCAGGGTCCAAAAACACAGGGGATTTGCCACATTTCTGAAATTCGGTGCCACCCCTCACGCAGATCCGCGGGGTCAGGGTCCAAAAACACAGGGGATTTGCCACATTTCTGAAATTCGGTGCCACCCCTCACGCAGATCCGCGGGGTCAGGGTCCAAAAACACAGGGGATTTGCCACATTTCTGAAATTCGGTGCCACCCCTCACGCAGATCCGCGGGGTCAGGGTCCAAAAACACAGGGGATTTGCCACATTTCTGAAATTCGGTGCCACCCTTCACGCACATCCATCGCAAGGCGTGGTAACCCAAACTGCGAGAACTCCCTCGGCCCTTTAATCGCAAGGTGTGGTAACCAAGCCCGTAAACCATACACGTCTTACCAATCGCCAGGTGTGGTAACCCCTCTTGTGATCAGTTGGTTTTGCTGATTGCGAATCGGCTTCGCATGAAGTTTCGATACTGCTTCACGACAGCGCCAAGGCCTCATGACTTAGCTCTTCCATGGCCCAT